TGGTCGTCCACCGCGGCGCATAGTACGTGAGCAGGAAGACATACTGCAGTTTTTTGAACAAAATCCAGCAGCGAGCACTTATGAGGCAGCCCGACAGTTCAATGTGTCACAGTACTACGCATGGAGTGTCATACACAATGAAGGAAAGTACCCTTTCCACTTGCATCGTGTTCATGAACTCGGCGAAGCTGACAAACCAGCGCGAGTTACATTTTGTAACTGGTTACTAGCTGCTGAACGAGCCAACATTTTATGGACTGATGAAGCAACATTTGGCAGAATAGGACTATTTAAATCGCACAATGAACACTTGTGGTGCTATGAAAATCCACATGAACCAAGACCGCATAGCTTTCAACACCGGTTTAGTGTCAATGTGTTGGCAGGCGTCATTAATACAACGTTACTGGGCCCGGTCTTCATAGAAAGATTAAACGGTGAAAGCTGTCATAGTTTTCTCACCGACACGCTGCCAGAGTTGTTAGAGGACATACCACTTGCATCTCTACGCAATATGTATTACCAACTTGACGGGGCGCCGGCACACTATGCTCGCCAAGTTAAGGATTATTTAAACAGAGAATACCCTGGTCGCTGGGTCGGTCGAGACGGGCCTTGTGCATGGCCTCCCAGATCGCCAGATATCACACCAATGGATTTTTATTTGTGGGGGCATGTAAAGACATTAGTGTATACTGGTCGAGCATTCGAAACCCGCGACATGTTGAAAGAAAAAATTATTTGGGCATTCCATCAAATCAAAATGAATCATCAAGTATTATCTCGTGTCGGTGAACAGTTAAGTTTTAGGTGTCACCTATGCATAGAATGTGGCGGTGATTATTTTGAACGCTATGTGCGCGATACTCACCGCCATCCGCGGACAAGTACCTAGGTAAGTCTAATTTTTAAATTTGTATTTTAATATTTTTATTGAACCATTATACTTTAATATCTTTATTCAATTACTGTTAATTTGTATTTAATCATTATAAATATTTTATTGTAATATTTGTAATTATTTTAACCTGCATCCATTTTTTGAATACAACTTACATTAAATAAAAAAATAGTTAATAATACTCATTTAATTTGCACGTGCTGCAAACATCGATCACCAAATCGATGCCTGCAAACCGAAAAGGGCAGGCGGCGCCTTTGATGACGGTGACACCTGTGTCTCGACGTTATAATACATCGTTGGCTTGGCCTTGGGCCGCCGCATGTGCGACGTTGAGGCGTTGCCTCTTGGATGCAGGCAGAGTTGCTAGCAAACAGTATTCGTAAAAAAACTACCTAAATGTCTATTAAAGAATGTCTATTAATTCTTAAAGAAATTAATAAAAGAATCAAATAGTTCATCAAATGGTTTTATGCAGAATAAAAAAGTATATGAAAAGTTAATGTAAAGTCATTTAAAGTGGCGCCCTGGTGCAATAGGCACAGTGATGAATGGTTTAGTAGGCTCTCGCAACTAGGGTTACCATATCTCAGGATTTGTCCTGAGATTTCAGGATTTTTAGACTCTTCTCAGTATTGCGGCTGAATTTTGCAAATCTCATGAAATCTCAGGATTTTTAGAACTTTCAATATAATACAGCTTACAGTTTTAAAAGATCTCTTAATAAAAAGTTAAACAAACTAAAAATAATTTTCCTTTGGTAAAAATTCCACAATTAAAATCAAAACTTATTTATTCAAGTAGGTACTTAAACAGTTTTATCATACTTAATATGTGAAGATACCTTTTTAAGTAAAGTTTTCTTCTCAAACTGTAAAACAATCTCAGGATTTTTAAATGGAAATCAGGCCTCTTCTCCGGACTTTTAATTTTTTCATCTGGTAACCCTACTCGCAACGCAATCAGCTGACCGCCGGACGTCGACCGGCCCGGCGGTCATTCTTACTTATTATAAATTTTAATATTTGTGGGTTTTTTTTGAATGTCATTTGCTCATTTAATTATGTTTAATGATTTCAACACAATGTTTGATACTGTATCTAGTGTAAAAATGCCTTATTTAGGCATTTTCTTTGACGATTTATTCTGACATTGTTTAGGTACTACAAAATACAGACTTAAAAGGAGTCAGACATGACAACAAAACCTTAAAAGTAGTTTTTTCGTAAATGTATTATATTCTGTGAAGAGTGATCTCACTAAAATTGTTTGTAATGATGTAACCAATATATTCTCAAAAGGTCTTCAGTAAATTAAAAATGACCCTGTATACCGGGTGTATTTGAAACGCTCCCGAAAACAAAAACAGATGATAGTACTAAGGACACCTTTGATCACGGGTCAGAAATAAATTTGATCCCGAGGAAAAAATGTCATATTTTCACAACGTTTTATTAACTTTATTCACGCTCCATCGTATTAGTACAGCTAAATAAAACGATAATTTCATTAAAAAATTCATGAATATACTTATACATCACCTGACTAGAGCTCAATGTACGCGTGGACGTCGCATTCGCGCGGCCCGCAGTTGGTTGGAATCCAAAGACAAACTCAATAATTTGCAGTAAACCTGTACTAGGGAAGTATAAAAAAAAAAGTAGAATAAAAACAATTTTATAAAAAGAAGCCATTTCTACATTATTTGTACCAGTAAGTATAAAATCGTTATAATAATAATACTTCAAAAATTTTAAACCTTTTTCAAAACTTTAGATAAAAATAGGGACAGATTTTTATACATTATAAAACTGTAGTAAATTAAAGATCTTGAGATTATCCTATTACCATATAACCCAACTAAGTATCTATTTATCAACTAATAAAATGTATAACCTTATTTCACCACCCGCACCTCACGGTCACACCAGTGCAATATTCATAGCATCACGCTATTTTCCCCAAGGGGTTGCGCGGAGCTTCGGATTATATTCCCAAGTCGCAATGATAAATATTTTAGCGTAGTTAAATATAATATATTTAGTAATGCTCTTGAAGCGCCACTAGACAGACCCCCGCGCATGACACTCGTGATTCAATGTGCCAGGATAGTATAAATTTCACAATATTTGATACTCACAACGCTCGATGCCCGATTCATACTTGATAGCCGTCGACATGGTGCCGAAGGCTTAAATAGCGTGGTTCATCGCCTACAGCGTTAGTCGTAGAGAAGAGGAACTCTTGGTTAATAGAATAGAATAGAATAATCGGATCAATAGCCCAGTCCATGAATGAGGGACCATTTTCTTAACATACTGAGATTGGGAGAATAGAGAGTACATCTGTATCCTAAGACACTTGATGCACTTTACTCTGTTAAGATCATTATGTTGTTAAAATTCTTAAGTTTATTATTACTTTATACTTTTGAGGGACAGATGAAAGAATATAAACATAAATCATGATGAAGCCTCATAAACATAGTGGCCTTCAAACAGAGCAATCTTATTTAATTGATTAGAAGTTTCTCTTAAAGTAAGATTCTATAATTTATCTAATTGTTAAATATTAAATGCTTGTAATTATCAAAAGTAATACTTATATATGCATAATAAAGCAGCCGTTATGTACTCCGTGTCCCCGTTTATTATTTCCCCATCAAAACATTTTATAAAATATATAAAATATAAATAGGTATATACTTAGTTATGTATGTACCTATTTATATTAACAATATGTTAAAAAGAAATTCCAGGGTAACTATCCTTGGCAGTAAATATTTTTCTCCTAAGATCATAACTCTAAAATACAACTTTCCGATCTGATACTTTGGGAGTATATTTAAGTTTATCGGGATTTTTACATTTGAATTAAAATCTAACAAAACGCAGGTAGGTTCAACTTATTCCCAGGAACATGTTATATAAATCGTTTTTAATTATTTTAGAACTGTCACAGTAAAAATGCAGTTAATTTTTGAAGTTATTCAATTTTGTGTCACTCGTTTTCGGCCTGGCAGGTCGTCTATTCGCCAGTATATTCTAAGTCTAAGCCATGTAGTATGCTTTCGTCAGTGGTGAGTACAATACGAGTAGCTGTCCCTGTCATTATTAAAAATTGGTTTCTGTGTTAATCTTAACCAGTTTTGGCTAATCGAGAGTGCTATTGCTTAAATAACTTGAAATAAATTGTTTCTAAACATTAGTTTTAAATAAAATTCACTTAAAGCTTAGCTTTATATGTACTGTGGTTATCAATAAACTTAACTATTCGCTGTATACAAATATAACTTACTATCCTTCAATTTGTTTGAATGAAGTCGACATCAAAGATAAATCGAGTCTTTTGAGTAAAAAAATCAGACAAATCAAAAAATCTGGCTTGTTAGTGGTTATTATTGAAATGGTTATACTAATGTCTGTATTGTCCAATAATTGAAACGGAACTACATATTATTTGTAGTTTCCCTATTAATCCGAAGATTAGCGAAAAGTGGTCGCGGATGTTAAATAGACAAAATTAGACTCCACATGAATATTATAAGATATGCTGCAATCACTTTCATCCACACTGCTTTTCAGTTAATATTGATCAAATAAGAAGAAAGTTGCAAAGTGGTTTTGTTTCTAACACAAGTATGCTGGTAGGTAAAAGCACAGCCCTCTTTTAACCATTAAGATTACCTATTTTTTTGACGAAAAACAGTAATGACAGTATATTCATGTTGATTCAGTTTTATATTTTTACTAGTGTCTATGAAAAAAAGTGAAATAAATAATAAAAGCTTTAATATATTTTGCTGAAAATATTTTTTTAAATATAAATAAGTTTTGTATTACATTCTTATGTATATGTATATTCTTAGAGCGGGTACACATTGGGCGCTTTGAAACGCGCGATTTACTAACGCGCGTTTTGAGATTCAAAAGTCCCTATTGAAGTGTACACATGCAAGCGCGCGCTTCTGATCAAGCGCGCTCTCAGAATTTCGTTGGAACGCGCGTTGCGCGGGCGTCAGCTGCGCGCTTGTAGATACATGCACCGCCATTTTGCTATACATTTGATCGCGCGCTTTCGTGTAGGGTGCACGTATATCATGGAGATCGAACACTTCGATACAGATTTATTTATCGACGAAATCCAAAAGCGTCCAGCTATATGGGACATGCAAAGTCCAGATTATAAGAATAAAATATTAAAAAAACGTAATTGGGAGGAAATAGTTAAAATTTTTAGTGACTGTGAAGACAATTTGGAAAAGAAAAAACTGTTGGGTGAGTATAATTATTTATTGATGTTTTCTATAATTATATCATGTTGTTTTGCCACTGTAATTTTCCCTCGTTCACAAAATAATTGGCAAATTTTTCTCTTGCTGTTCTAGCACATAAGCTGCCTCGTGGTAAATTTTCTAAATGTATAGATTGTAGAGGTGAAACATAAAGTGTATCTTCATATCTGTAACCATCGCGCATTCGAACGTAATTATGTAGTACTGTGCAAGCTTTGATGATACTCTCCGCGAAATCTATGTTTACATCTATCGGTCTATGAAATATTCGCCATTTATTGCTCATTATTCCGAAAGCACATTCAATATAGCGCCTTGCTCTCGATAATCTGTAATTGAAAACTTTTTTTGTGTGTGTGAGTTGTGTTCCTCCATACGGCCGCATCACATTCGACGTAATTCCAAATGCTTCATCGCCGACGAACACATGAGGCAATGGAGTTCTATCGATATTTGATATAGGCTTGGGGTTAGGAATGTTTAACTTATTATTCACAATCCGTTTAAAAAATTCGGAATTTTTAAAAATAGCAGAATCACTGGTTTTGCCATAGGATCCGACATCAACGTATACAAAACAATAATTTGCATCACAAACTGCTAGTAAGGCTGATGAGAAGTATGTTTTATAATTGTAAAAAAGCGACCCTGTATGTTCTGGTTGTATTAGCTCAATATGTTTCCCGTCAATCGCACCAATACAATTTGGGAAGTTAGCGTATTTCTTAAAACCTTCTTCTACTTCTTTCCACTTTTCTGTTGTCATTTCAGGCATAGATGTAAACTTCAATTTGCTCCATAGTACTTTACAAACTTGTTCCACTATCTTTATAATTGTCGATTTTCCAAGACGGTATCCGTAATGCAAATCAGCGAAAGAGCAGCCTGTGGCCAAGTATCTGTCAAAATAAAAATGGTTATTGTTTATTTTCAGGTGGTACACTTATGAAAAAGTGGAAAAGCATTCAGAACAATTATCTTAGGGAGTCTAAGAGGCAAAAAAAGCTTCCATCTGGATCTGGATCTTCCAAACATACGCCATATGTGTATTACAGGAAATTACAATTTCTTGCGAATTCTACAGCATATAACGACACAGAGAGCAATTACCAATCTTCTGGCACAACTGGTTCAGATGTAGATAATATTATAGACAATGCAGACTTGATGCCACCTCCTAAAGATCAAATGGAAGGCCCAAGGAAAAGACAGAAAATAAATGCTGTAGATAAACAAATAGTCGACATTTTACAGAAAAGTTTAAATGCAAGGGAACAAAATGAAATGGGGCGACTAACTAAAGAAGACGATGATAAACTATTCTGTTTATCATTGTACAGTGAATTAAAAAAAGTGCCCGAAAATCGACGCTTAACTACAAAGATTGAATTACTCAATGTCATTAAAGAAGCACAGAATTATCATATATCAATCATTACCACTAGAAACTAATCATCACCAATACACATATTCTACACCGACATATTCTGGATATACTACTGCTGGACCCTCAACAACACAAAAGTGGTCTACCACGCCGCCACCACCGCCGTCATCATGGTCACCGTCACGTTCAGCCTCCAGCCAAGATTCAGACAACTTAGATTTATTTGAATAAACAAATATACTTACCTTAAAGTTATCACGAGTTTTTCTTCTCTCAAATCGAATCTCTCAAAATCGTTGAATCACCAGTAATATCTACTTTAATGACATGGAGTAAGTCATCAAATGATTTTATGGACATTCTAAAATAATTAAAAAACTTAGGTTCATATTGCCTTAATTTTGGATACAATGTTACAAACATTCCATGCGTCAGTCTATCTCGTAATATTGGGTGCACCCAATATTCTCTTTGCCTCTGCCGTCGTCTTTTATAGCGACGGTATAGAAGCCACACACAAGCCATCACTTCGAAGTCCATTTCCGAACTGAACTAGTAGTATGGACACCTTGGTAACGCCCGTTAAACGCCGTGCTAAGCGCGCTGTATGTATGCTACAAGCGCGCGCCCAACGCAACGCCGAGCGCCCAATGTGTACCCGCCCTTATAATAAACTGTTGTTTTTATTATGTTACTGCATACATTATGATAAGAGACAAATTACTTTTATATAGGCTTAATTATTCTCCTAATAATTGCATAACAGTAATATAATTACTGTTATTTCAGGTTGAAGTTCATCTTCCACTTAGATCAACTATGTATTGGTACAGATATTGAACCTTTACCTAGCTTATCTGCTAATACTATTTCAATCAGTGGTATTGTGGTGAAGTAATACTAAGAAACAGGCAAATGTTAAAGACAATATCCCAATTCAAGAGAAGAATCACAGACAAGGAAAAAACTAAATAATTAACGTGCTCAAGAGAAACAAAAGGAATCGAAAATAATTCAACTTAGTCAAGTTATCAGAGATATACACGCCCGTCCATCATTGAGAATTGATTTGATTGTAGTTATACAACGTGGAGCTACAATGGTGACATTAATTTAACACATATACGTTTTCCAATTTTCGTTTCATGAAGAAATTATATTTCCATTAAACGTTATTATTTACGGATTTATTTAAAATTTTAGAAAATCGCATCTTAGAGCAACCTGTACTTACGCAGCGGTCATTTGCCGGGTCACGGATCGTAACATCGCATCATTGAAATTAAAGAAAATAAGCAATTCTATTACAGGATCCATCCTTTGTCGGCGAGCGGGCGGCGCAGGCGACACGCGTCTTTAACACCCCGCCGCACCGTAATCGAATTATTGTTTTGCTTTTCTAGTGCTAGAGTCCGGACCCGTGTCTTTAACACACTTCTTCACAGAAGTGCGCATAATTACGTCGAATATCTTTGTGAACGTTTCCGCGAAAAAGACCTATTGTTTTATTTATTAATTTTTGTGTAATTAGGATAGTAATTAGATTATGGTACTGCGATAAAGACGGTTTGTTTTGTTTTCGTTTTCTAATGTAGTAGGTACGTTTACATATCTTGCGATACGGACACTTTTATTTGTGTTGTTAGCGCTTGTGTTAACTTGTGATCGTGATGGCAAATAGATATACATCGGTAGTGGTATTATGTAGAAATTAGCAATTAGCAACAATCACGCAGTACATGTGCGATCAATTGCTTTGTTTAAAAAAAGTTTCGTATTACGTAAGAGGTCGCTTGCTAATCGCTCGCTATGCACTTATCGCGACTACACTAACGCCAATCGCAATTTGGTAGTTGGTAGTGAGAACTGGAAGTATTTAATGTCAAACAGATGGTAACCAAATGTGTATAAAGTTAAAAGAAAAATGGAAAAAAATAGCGTGGCGTCTGTTTTAAGTGGCCCGTTTTTGTGTTACATGGGGCTATAGTTATTTGATTTTAAACAGTTATAGCAATAATGAAGTAATTAATTGCTACATCTCATTTATATTGATTTAAATGTAATTAATATCGTCTTTTAGTATAGAATGGCAAAATAGAGTGTCGAAGGATCAGCTCGAAGAACTATTGGAGTTTCTTTGCCAACATCCCGCTTTAGCCAAAGGAGTTGGGCTTGGAGCAAAATCCAAAGAAACTGTTGATAAACTGTGGAATAATCTTGCTACGAAGCTGAATGCTCATGGATCTGGGTCATCGAAATCCGGTGAACGGTAGAAAAAGGTAAGCTTTAACATATGCAATATTGCTTGGTCCAAACAATTTTGAACTAATTTGTATTACCATTAACAATACCATAATATGTGTTATTAAAGTAGATACTTTTTCGTTCATAGTACTGGGCTGATCTGAAACACAAAAGTAAGGGTGACAAATCAACATCGAGCTATGCTGCGCTGTGCTATGTTTGGTCAACTCGCTCGTCTAATATTTTAATGAGGATACAAACAAACCATGCTGTGCTGCGCTGTGTGAGGCTACGTACGCTCTGTTTAAAAACGCAGCAGTCTCGAGCGAGGCGCGCTACTCGCCGTGCTGAGTGTGCCGAACTGTGCTATGTTTTTTATGGAGCTCTGCCATGCTGCGCTGTGTCGAGCTGTGTTAGGTTTTTCAAACATGGAGCCCGCTACGTGCCCCTCCATCGCCCTCAGACGTCTCTCTCACTCTCGTACTCCCATCTCGCTCGCACTAGTGTATGCGCGCACAAACAAACAAGAATGAACGAGTTTCATTCGCTCATTCAAACAGGTCTGGTAACACGTGTTGTGTCGAAATTTGTTCATCGAGAGCAGTGGTCTGATTAAAAAATGGAGATTTTTATAGAAGAAGTTCGGAAACACGAATGTTTGTGGAATCCAACATCCCCATATTATAAAGATTCAGAAAAAAGAGAAGCCTCCTGGCGCGCCATTATACAAACAACAAAGATGGAAAAAAAAAAGAATGGATAATAAGTGTGTGTGTGCGTGTGTATTTATGTGTGCTTATCGTTGATGTATTGGTACAATTTTGTATGTATATACTCACAGTTATAATCCCGGATATGTTAGCTACTAACCAGAGACTCAACTCAAGGTCGTGATCATGAACAAGGTAAACAGAAGCATTTGAGTGATATAGGTGTACCAATGAATGATGAACCTCGGAGTGGTTACATTGTAATTAATTTACTAGTGTTGCAATAAAATCATTAATTAAATAAACTTATTTTTATATAAAAGATTTCCATATGTACTCATTAAATAATTTTTTTATTAAATTTTCAGTTTTATAACTTGTAAATTAATTATAATGTAACCACTCCGAGGTTCATCATTCACTGGTACACCTATATTAGAATAATCGATTACAGCTCTCTTTTTACCAGTGGACTTAGCATAGGTTTCAAAGTAAAGTGAAGTGATCGCGTTGACTCGGCGTTCAGTACAGAAATTATTTATCTCTTCACTGAACGTCGAGTTAACGCGATCACTTCACTTTACTTTGAAATCATACTGCAACTGTTTCAATACATTAAATTTGAAACAGTTGTAATGTGATTTCTGACTACCCCCTAATGGGATTACAGTCGTGAGTCTATGTATGTAGATACAACATTGTAAATAAATAGATACATTCTCATTTTTTTAAAAACGAAATAAAAGAACATTTTTACGTGCTTATTAAACTTGTCTTTATTTAATTTTCATTTATATGGGCACTTGTATTTTGCCAAGGTACGCTACCACTGCCGTTAAAATAATTGGAAAATTCTTTTCTTATCTGATAGGCTGTAATAGAAGGGCTATTGCCTCCTAGTCGCAAAGGACGCAACACACTGTTAATACTGTTTTCAGTCTGAATTTCGTTATCTCCACTCAAATAGTTATGCAGAACACAGGCCGCTTTAATAACTTTGTTAACTGTGTGGATATTACAAACAAATGCAGTATGAAATACTCGCCATCGTGCTGCTAGTATTCCAAACGCTTGTTCAAGAACTCGCCGTGCTCTGCTTAGACGATAGTTATATATTCTTTTCTGATTATTTAGTTGCGATTGAGGGTATGGTCTCATTAAGTTTGGAAGCAGTGGAAATGCTTCGTCACCAACAAATATGAAAGGCATTTCCATACCACCTTCTTCTAAAGATTTGGATTCTGGTAGAAATAATGAATTATCTTTTAGTTTCTTTCCCAATGCAGAGTTGCTAAATATTCCTGCATCACTGAAATGTCCCTTTGATCCAACGTCTATTGCAATGAATTTATATCTTGCATCGACAACAGCAAGTAGTACTAACGAAAACGATTTCTTATAGTTAAAATAGTCTGAACCTGAGTTGGGAGGTGATTTGATATAAACATGCTTCCCATCAATAGCGCCTACACAATTTGGAAAATTGCATTTCTGCCTGAAATAGAGCTCATTTTCCAACATTTACAATGATATGTATGCATCTGAGAGTTATAATAGTGCCTTAACTAGTACTCGAGGGTATACAACAGCTCAAGGTGTCCAATTCTCAGATACCAATTGTCATACATTACACAATGTGTTTACATCTCCAAGTAGTGCCTCAAATCAATCTGTAGGAGGATATACAGCTGAACAAGATGCCAATGACCTTCCAGTCGGTGGGAACACCGTGTTCGGACCGTATGCAAAAGAGGAGGCCAATGCTACTTCGCTAATTGATTAATTTAAAAATTATTAGCGGTACCATTTTAATTTCATTTTTGCTAAGTACTTGTTTTTTATATAATGTAACATTAGTAAAGTTAATGAACGTTTTTTACCATTGTTTTATTATATTGACAAGTCACGCACGCACTACGTACATACTAGAGTACTGCCGCATTGCATGTAAAGTTTTGAAAAGATATGTCAAAATAGGTTCTCTATCTTACCATGTAAAATTTTTATGAATTATTATTCTACATACAAAATTAATTACTAATACATACACGAGGGAAAATGTAAAGAGAAAATTGCCTTATCTTGTGCATTCAAATAATTTACTTACCTCAAACAGATTGCTAATTTCTCTTCTGTGCTTATGGCTTTCTTACAGTCAATTTTGTTTTTTATATATGGACTTATTAACGAATGTAAATAATTAAAATGATTTTTAGTCATTCGCAAATATTTAAAAAAATCGTCTTCAGTGGCAATATTCTTTAGAAAATTAAATTCTCCGTATTTTTCACGTATGGTGTGTGGTAACAAGCTACCGTGACTGGACTCTTTTAACGACAAAATAACACATAAAATATCCATATCCGCTTCTTCTTCACTTTCATCTTCATCGGATTCAACTATGTCGTAATGTTTACGTTTTTTTTGAAAATAAAGTCATTTTTGACGAGATAAACTACTACACGAGCTGCTGATTACTTTTATGCTGAGCTAAGCAAAGCGCAGCACAGCTTGATGTTGATTGTTAAAAAAACGTAGTCTAAGAAACACAGCACAACACAGCGCAGCATAGCTCGATGTTGATTTGTCACCCTTTTTTTTTGTTTTTTTTTTGCGGATGGAAAATCATCAAATGACGCCTTTCGCTCTGGGTGGAGCGGATGGGAGTGTCAGACTTTTACTGACTAAAAACCATCCGTGTTCCTTCAGTGCCCTTACGTTCCAGAGCCGCGGTATCTCTTTCGAACAGCCCGCAGCCCCGGCAGGCGTCGGCCCTTGCGGGCCCCTTCACGCTGCTGACAGCTCTTTGAGGCGCGCGTGGAACAAAACGCGCCGTCGACACGGCCTGTCGTCGTTAGACGGACGGACGGCGAGCTACCCATTGCTCGCCGTCCACAGGCCCGCGCCTACGGTGGCCGGGGGCCACGACGTAGCCCCCGACGCCCGGGGCGTCTCCCGCGGCGGCCGGGAAGGAAAGCTGCTGCTCTCTCCTTCTCCCGCTCCGCCACCTCCTTCGCTAGCATCACTACTTCGCAGAAGGTGGTGACGGTATCCCATTCCGTCTCGCTCCGGACCATGGCTTCGACCAGGGCCGGACGCGAGAGGTCGCCGCCGCCTATCGCCGCTACGAGGACACGGCGGTGCTCCGCCCAGGCAGGGCACACCTCCACGGTGTGCTCCACCGTGTCCTCCGGTCGATCCTCGCAGTGGGAGCACCCGGGCGTTTCCTCCCGCCCGATTCGGTGCAGGAACCTCCCGAACACACCGTGTCCGGTGAGGACCTGCGTCAGGCGGAAGGTGAGGACGCCGTGGCGTCTCTCAAGCCACTCCTCAAAGAGGGGTCTTATCGCCGCTATAGTGGCGTGCCCAGCACGGGGTTGCGACAGTCGCTCTCTCCATGTCGCCATGAGATCATGCCGGAAGTCTGTCCGCTGCACGACAACTTGCCGCGGCAGCGGGGTTTCCCCCCGGCATAGTGCCTCCGCGCGCCATTCGTGCAGGCGCGCGAGGACTATTTGTCACCCTAAGTCTAGACTTGCGAAACGGAGGCAAGTTTCTTCGGCAACTGGTGGTGGTCCGAGTAGCCAAGATGATTTATCAGAGACTGACAAAAAATCTTGTCCATCATCGGAAAGCAAGCTGTATTTGGTGACCGTGAGCACAGAGTTTCTGTATTTGTAAGTAATTAAATATTTAATTATGCCTATACACATTATTTTAAAATAACAAATATTTTACTATGGTGCCCATTGCTCTTGAACATACCATTTAGTTTTAGTACAAATAATGTACAAATGAATTGACACATAATGTTGGTTCATAGACAATTTTATTGATAATTATTTTTTATTTAAAAATTAAAGTGTGATCGTCAATCACAATAAAAAAAAGAATAGCTTGGAAAATTTAGCCACAAAATCTTTTTAAGTTATTGTGTATTGAGTTCAGTAGATAAATCATGTTGTAGTTGACTTTTTTGTAAAATATATAATTATAGTTAAATGTAGTGTTTAAATTGTTGAGTATTTTTGATTAAAATGTAAAATGAATGAGTATGTGAGAATTTATAGGTCTTATAACCTGAAAATATAATAAAAGAAACCTTTAGGATATGTTATTTTTTAGACCACTGAACCTGACACTGTAACAGTTCAATTTCCTGATACTGTAAAGTCACCTTCAACAAGACGGCAAACATGTAGGATTTGTAAGGTTTTTTAATACTCGTATTTTATGAAACAAGAAACCTCCCATGCTATTATTTATATTTTAAAGAAAGCTATCTACTTGATATTTACATATACATAATATTTATTAATACAATAATATTTATTCGAGTACTATTTTACCACTCTAATTCAAGGAGCAGTAAATGTCTGGAAACCTCTCATATTACTTTTAAACATCTGACAGGGAATATAAATAATCTTGAGTAATACAACTGCCGTTTTATATTTACAGACACTTCAGAAATAGCTGTCTGATTCCACACCAGTTAACACCAATACACAGACAGCATAAGGCTGAGTTACCACGGACTTAAAATATTCCTGAACCACCACAAACTGGTATTTATTTATTTAGAATCAAGCGGAAATTACAATAAACAATATTTTAAATATATATAAACAATTACAGTACCATTCAAGTGCCTTATCAATTATAATATTTCTTTTAATTATTAATTACAGGGCTTATAGTCCTGGTTACCTATATTTGTTTAGTATTAATGGTATATGTAGTAGAACCAGAGTGACTGACATAGCTCAACGGATAAGTAAGCTGAAGTGGCAATTGGCTGGCCATATAGCTCGAAGAACCGACAACCAATGGGAAAAGAAGGTTCTCGAGTGGCAGCTTCGTTACGGTAGGTGAAGTTAAGAGCGTACACCCACTAGCTGGAGTGACGACCTGGTAAGATATGTAGGAAGTCGATGGATGTAGGCGGTTCAGGACTGTGCTTTGTGGCATTCTTTGCGGGAGGCCTATATTCAGCAGTTGACTTGTAAAGGGCTGTATTGATGAAGCTGATGAATGGTATATATTTAGTATTAAAAGTATAAAAATAAATGTTTTTTAATATCCATATTTACTATATAATAAAAATACAAGGCAATTTTCTTAAATTAAAATATTTTTATGCAGGAGTAGAGTCCTAATTCGAAGGCCTACTGGACCCCATCGCTTTAGACGTAGCAGATCCTCTACTACTCGTGAGTTAACTTGAGATTTTATAACTTTTTATATTTAGAAACAATATTTATATTCTTTTATGTTTCAGATCGGTTTAAAGTCGATCGGGAATGGGTCATGGAACTAGAGGAGAAAAGGATTGAGTCTGAAATAAAGCTTGTCGATGCTGCAATGGTGATGGCAGAGGCATCTCGCATGCAAGCTGAAGTAGCCCGCACACAAGCTCACATAACTGGCACACTCGTAGAGCTTGTGCAAAGGTAAAGCAAAGACATACGTGCCTTGCTTGAAGCACGGAGACTACCAGAACTCTAACCCATTACCCTGTTACATACGATTCATTGCTGTTATCATATTATTGTGTCTGAAAATTAGGCAGTGAGAGCTTCAAAATAATTTCAATAATTTAAAAAATATATCAATTGAATTAAGATGAAAAATGAAGATACAGTCCATTTATACATCATATTAAGTATCAAAGTGTAAAAGACCGTAAAAGCGTTATTGCCACTGTGGTAGAACCACAGTGGCGATAAATAATTTAATTTTTAATTCCGTCTAAGTCTGCAGGTCTACTCTAATTCAACGAAAAACGAAATTTCGATCGAAATTTCGCTCAATTCCTACCATGGTTCCATTCGATTCGAAACTTCGTTGAAACGAAATTAGTTTGACGTTTAAATTCTCTAAGCCTACTCTATTGCACTAAAGTTACGAACGAAAATTGAAGTTTGACAGATACTTGTTCGTAATTTTAACCTCAAATTGACGAAACCAAAAGTGTTAACTTTTTATTTTCGTTTTGGTCGATTTTGTTAAAAATTTAACTAAAATGGCTACGAGACAGCTTTTAATCGCGGCTGCTTTACGTGAAGAACGATTGGAGCGTAGAAGGAACCGGCGCCGCCTGCGTAATCAATTAAATATTTCAAATATTCCCGATCTAGAGTTTGTCGGAAATTACAGACTCAGTCGGGAATTATTCGAGGAGTTGTGCCAGGACATAGTGCCTTTATTGCCTCCAAAGGGAAGACGACATGGAATCGAGCCCACACTTAAAGTAAGTTTAAATTGTTTAAACACAGGGAGTGTCTCTTTAATTTTTCATTTTACTGTTCATAAGCCTCAATCTGTGTTAATGTATTTCAGATACATACTGCTTTGAACTTTTATGCCCGAGGAAGTTACCAGGGGTCACTGGGACAAAATATGGATGGGCCCATGGCACAACAGACAGTGTCCCGTTGTTTACAAGAGGTAACAACTGCACTTAATGCACCCCACATACTAAGGAAGCACATAAGATTCCCACAAAATAGGAATGAAAG